GATATTAGAATATATCTGTTTACTTTTTTAATTCAAATGTTATCATTTCAGGGACTGGCTATAATAAAGTTCCCCAAAAATCACATAAGGCAAGTTTTCTTGTTGATAACATTGCCAGAGAGAGCCTGATTCAGTGCACAGAAAATAGTGGATTGGAGGAACCCACTTCACAAGGGAAAGGCTGCAATACATCAAAAGCAGGAGAGACATCTACAGTAGAGGCAAATTTAAGAGAACCAAGAAGTGAAACTGAGGATGGTAAAAATAAACTGTCAGAAAACATAAGCAATGAAACACAAGTGAAAGCAGATATAGATGTCAAATCTAGTGATAAAACTGATGTGGAGAGCCTGATCCAGAAAATAGAAGATATTGGATTAGAGGAATCTACTTCCCAAGAGAATGGTGGGAAGGACACAGATCCAAGAAATGACTCTGAAAATAAGGATCGGCTTGGAAGCATTAACTCAGAAGGAGGGCAAGTGAAGTCATGTGGGGATGTCAAATCTACTGAGGACGGTATTAAGGGAAACATGACAGAAAATCCTTCACACTCCTTGTATGAACTTTTGATGCCAGTGTACCAAGTGAGTTTGATCATATATTTTATATGGTTACTATATTATTATTTTTAAGAAAAATATAATTTTTTTTTAGCATTTCCTAAAAGAAATAATGTTACTGAAACAAAAAGTATGAAAGACAAATTGAGGGTTGGATGAATATGGCTTTTGCATTGAGACACAAAATTCATATTATTAGATGATGGTTCTATATATATATATATATATATATATATATATATATATATATATATAGGGGACATCATAACCCAAAAGATGAAAGGATTATGAAATAAGCTTTCTTTGGCAGATAGAGAAAGCAATGAAAGAATGGATGTCCTTTGACTCCTTACGTGTCATCCTTGGAGATACATATGTTCGAGGGATGTTGGAGCATTTTGGACACTCGTGGCAAGATTATGATACAACATCAGGTTGGTTATATGAATACATCACACAGTAGTACATGCAACTAGTCATGTGGTAATGTCAACAGATTTGTGATTGGTAAACAGGCCTATTTAATGACTCTACATGTCAACATACAAAGTTAGATAAAAGTGTTTTTCATCCATTATACAGTATTCAGGTACTGAAGATTGCATTTTATTTTTGTCACTGTTATGTAAAGACCTTTTTTATTCCTAGAGGTAACTTGTGATTATTGACTATCTACAGGGCTCAAATTAGGCATTGATGCAAGGGCGAAGTACATCGCTCTCTGTCGCAAGTTGGATCAGCAGGAATTACAGGAAGAGAAAGAGATGCTTCACCTTGATGTAGAGAATGATTTTTCAAAGGCCCCCACAAAAGCCATGCCTGACTATGAGCAGCTGAAAAAAGATGCAAGGAAACAAGAGCTGAAGGTAAAACTTTCATGACAGAACAAATTCCCAAGATTTTTTCATATTCTTTTCTTCTTCTTCTTCTGTTAAGTCCTATATTTGCATAAGAATTCCTAAAGATTGTTATTTATTTTCTAAGCATATCATTTCCAATTTTGTCAGGTTGTTTCATTCCTGGGGGGAAGAGAACAGTATGAGGAAGCAGATGTGGAAGAGGAGGAAACGGGGAGAAAAAAAGGCCTTGAGTCCATTCCGGAAGAGCAGTGTGACACCGATAAACCTCCCAGGGTTGGGAATCCAAGTGGAATAGTTGCCAAAAAAGGAAAGGGGAAAAAGACAAAAAAGAATGTGGATGAGCTTGAGGTGGAGACTTCAACGCTTCCCTTGATAGACTCGTATTCCCAGATGGCATGGCGACAGCAGATTGTGTTGGAGAAGACCAGTAAATGGTATGTGTTATTAAGCTGAGGTTTTTCAAGGTATTCCTTCATTATTTTTGTTTTTATTATTATTATCATTATTATTATTATTATTATTATTATTATTATTGTAGTTGTTATTTTATAGTTACCATTGATGTTATTGCAGTTGTTATTAGCATTAATGTTATTGCAGTTGTTATTATTATTATTATTGTAATTATCATTTTCTTAGTAGTAGTAGTAGTAGTAGTAGTAGTAGTAGTACTATTATTATTGTTATCATCATCATCAATATTAGTAATAGCAGTAGTATTAGTAGTAGTAGTAATAATAATAGTGATAGTAGTAGTAACAGTAGCATTGGTTGTTATTGTTGTTGTAGCCATAGTAACAGAAGTAGTAACAGTAGTGATAGCAGAAGTAGTAACAGTAGTAGTAGTAGTAAAGTTGTTGTAGAACTAATCAAATAAATGTAAAAAAGAAAAAAAGAGAGTAAAAGATACTATACTTTAATTACTTGACCATATCATATGTGATGAAGTACCATCATCATCCTTCACCTTCTACAGTTTGAATGAGATCCTAGGAGTAACTGATCTTGATGGCGGAAAGGTTGGACAACTACTAAAGGCGGTGGTGATCACACTCGACCTTGAAGCTCATAATATATCCTTCAGGCCGGGACAGTGGAATTTAATTATGCTGATATTCATGGAACTGTAAGTGATTTTGTTGTTTAAGGATAGTTATCCGTAATTTAATTTAAGATTTGTGCTGTGAGTCTGAATCAGTTGCTGTGTGAGTGATTATTATTATTATGCTTGCATGATTCTTTGATGTAGTCTTGTGTGTATAAAATGCCAGTCTGATTATAGAGAAATTTATCTTAAAGTTTCTTTAGCCCATAGTTGAATATACAAGTTACAATTATTGTTTGTTTATATAATCAAGTATGTATCATGCTATTTGGCAACCATAGTATAGAGTAAATACAGTTGTTATTTATATGAAACTGTTGGCTATTAGTAAACATCACCCCTTAAGTGACTTGAAATAGCTTTACTATCCAGGTGATGATTATTAAAAAAAAAAAGAAAAACAGTAAAGTAGTACAACTAATGCTGTTAGGGTTGTCACCATGGAGGGAGGGTGCAAAGGGGCTGTACATACACTTCCTCATGTATACCATCTGTCAAAGGATAGTCTTTAGAAATTCATGAGTCAGTGAGCTCCCACCTTGTAGACAAAAGTACCCCTAGCAGAATGTATACTAGGTACAGTACTAAAGATTAAATTTTGATAATAAGATACTGCTGTTCTTATTAAATATTACAGTACTGAGTGATCCAATACACAGTTGCTAGGCCTGCTTTCAATACTCACATAACAAAGCTACTTAAATGTTTAACCCCTCCAACCAAATTTATCATCTTTTCTCTTACAGCTTAAGTGTCCGGTATCCTGTTATCAGTGCAGCCATGAAGACTGAAAAGTATTGTGAGCTTCAGAAAAACATCATATCAGCTTTTGGGCTAGACTTAGGATACATGTCACGTATTGTCACATATCTCACTGAAATCCAGCCTATAATCAGTAAGAATTATAGAAATACCATTGAAATCAAGGAAAATATAGATATAGCAAGAACAGTGTCTAATCAAGATGCAGAAACAAACAATCATAAAAATTCATCAGATACAGTGATTGCGGATGGAAAACAGTGTAGATCAGAAAAACTGATTTCTAAGGTAAATGATTTAGCTGTAAATTTAGAAAAAGTGAACACACAAGAAAAAAGTTGTTTCCTGCCTAATAAAACAGAGCAGTCACTCAGACAAGAAATGGACACCTCCGTGAAAAGTACTTCAATCGAGGAACTTGACTAAAAGGGACTGCTGTGTAATACTGTATATTTTGTATATTTCAATTTGGAAATCTTATTTATTTTTTGGGACCTAGAGGAAGTTAGCAAAAATCTCAAAATAAACAGATATATATATCTAGTATACTAGGTATAGAAGTGGATATCGCTTTTTTTTATATAACATTGTTCAAAATAAAACTTGCAGTTTAATAAAAAAAAAATCCTGTGATTAGAAACAAACACACAAGGAGTTTAATTAAATTAATCCTTTCTATTACTCTTTGAAGGGTTTTATTTATTGTATTAACTTCAAAAATGCTCATCTTGATCAAGCAGACATGAAATGAAATGAGGGATTATAAAAGATTACCATGCAAAACACCTCTCTCTCTCTCTCTCTCTCTCTCTCTCTCTCTCTCTCTCTCTCTCTCTCTCTCTCTCTCTCTCTCTCTCTCTCTCTCTCTTCTCTTCTTTCTTTCTCTCTCTCTCTTCTCTCTCTCTCTC